GACTTCTGAGCCTGTGGGTGCAGGTCGGTGCTCCTGCAATTGCAAGTGCAGTATTTCCCCCACAGACCACCAGGGCGGCCGAGAAAACCTTTGTTCAACCTGAAATGACTCATTTAGTCATCCATAACGTTATGGAACACATTAATTAACTGAAAAATGTTGCATAGTGTCCCTTTAATAAAATAATAATTGAACCTTTTTGATCTCACACTGGAGAAATTTACCTCTGCATTTAACCCATCCATCCACCCATATAATAGAATAGAATAGAAAATCCCTTTATTGTCCCATAATGGGGAAATAGAGACACAACAGAAGCAAAAGCGTTTCAGCAAAAGTGGTCACACAAATTTGGACCTTAAAAAGTTTATAAGGTTAGTTGTAGTAGATGTAGCATTTTATATGTTATTCCCCTTATTTTTTTACCTCTGCCAAGAATGTGACATTTTTAGTTGTTTGTTTGTCCGTCTGATAACTTGAAAAGTTCTCAACAGATTTGATTAATTTTTACCAAATGTGCACCTCAGTCCAAGGAACAATCCATTAAATTTTAGTAATGATCCACATCATAATCCGGATGCAGGTTTTTTTTTAAAAAGGATTCTTTAACATTATTCGGTGGAACAAGCAGTTCCTCCCTAAACCAGAAGGTGGCAGCAGTGACTCCAGACAGCTTCAGTATCAGACTCAAAGCAGCCTAGAGTTTTATAACATATTGGGGCCAATTAGAGCAGAATCAACTAACCGTGTCTTCTCCTCCATCATCAGTCTCTGGTCTCCTGAAAAATGTATATATATTCCCCTAAAAACAAACGCAAACCTTACAGAACATCCATCTAGAAGTGCTAAAGCTGTTGGAGCCGCATAAAGCAAGTCCATAAAAATCTACAGGGATGTTCATGTTTGTCCAAAAACAAATACACAAGAAAAATTTGAGAGGTTTAAAAGTTATTTGCTATATTGCATATTAAGGATCTGTTTATTTCTCCTTTATGTTTAGAAAAAGATCTTCAGACCGCTTACAGGCTTTCTGATTGATCGGGCATCAATAGACATCTTGAGAAATAATAAAGGTTCTGTAATAGGAGAGACTAGAAAAACCAACCACACGGTTATATGTCTTTTAAAAGGGATTTCTGAGATAATAAGAACTTTATCTGGATATAATCACCTGCTTCTTTGGCCATATCTGGGTAGTCTCTGGCTCCAGGTTTGTCAAACTGCAGTAATAAATAAAAAACAAAAGTCAAGTTGATTCAGAAATTACAAAAAATAACACTTAAACACTTTCTCTCCTTAATAATTTTATTCTTTTTTCTCGGTTTTTTGTCGTTCAGGATTATATTAGCTGGGAAATTAAAGGTGCAATCTATCTATTGAAAAAAGTCTGAATTAGCTATTGAACGTCTTCACACATCTTCCTAGTTGCTACTTTCTGTTTAATACAAAAAGACAAAATAGTAAAAAATTATATAAACATTTTGCATTTAAGAGGAAAAACTTTTTTATCTGTGAATATGCTCTATCCAGATCTTCTTAAGTGGCTTAGGTTTAGCTTTCTGATGTAAATTCTGTATAAAATATTCCTTCAAGCACCGATTATTATCCATTAATAAAACTTTTTTTTAAATGTGACAGATTAACCAATTAGTGAATTAATGGTAAGTTGCAGCCATAGTGTGGAGAATTTGAACCTGTATTCTTAATGTCAATTCATGAATGTGTCTAAATTGTCATGAATGTGTCTTCTTTCAT